GGTGAACGGGTTTCCGGAACTTCTTCGGCAACGGTAAACCTTGGCTTGGGCCAATCCGCGACGTCGTTGGCTAGCCATTTCGGTCCATGACGCCAAAGCGAATTTTTCAAGAAATCCGCTGGTGATTGTCCTCGCGATATGAGGTCAGCTGGATTGTCATCGGATCTGACATGATGCCACGCTGCGACGTCTGTTTTGGTTTGAATTTCGGACACTCGGTTCGCCACGAACGTTTTCAGCGTGCATGGTTCTCTTCTTAGCCAGCTCAGGACCACCGTCGAATCTGTCCAGAATTTTACGGATTCAAAGGGAAAGGCGTTGATTTCCCGAACGGTTGTAAACAATGATGCCAGAAGTACTGCTCCGCACAGTTCCAATCTTGCGAGGCTCACGATTTTAAGGGGCGCGACGCGGGATTTCGCACATAACAGGCTCATTTTGATTCGGCCGCGTTCGTCGATTGACCGTATATATAAGCAAGCACCGTACGCTCGCTCGCTTGCGTCGCAGAATCCGTGTAATTCCAGGCTCCGAATGGCCCGCTGACAGACATGGCGTTCGAATGATGTCTGATTTAATTGCTGTAGTTCGTTGACGTAGGTGGTCCATTCAGTGTGGATGCTGGCAGGTAGCGATTCGTCCCATGTGAGTTTTAATCTCCAAAGCTGCTGCATCAGTATCTTCGCGGTCGTGATAACAGGTGCCAGCAGACCTAGGGGGTCGAATATCTTCGCGATGGTGGACAAGATTGTTCGTTTCGTTACTCTTGTATCGATATTCGGATCCACGGAATAGACGATGCGATCGTTGTGCGCTTGCCATGAAACACCAAGAGTCTTGACCGTTGCGTCTCCGAAGTATTTGGTGTGGATTTGAGCTTCTGGAAGTCCCGTTAGGAGCTGTGGTTCGTTTGAAGCCCACTGTCGAATATGCAATCCACCCAATCCGAGCAATCGTATTATTTGCTCGCGTAGAATCGTCGCCTCGTTATAAGTGTCCGTTCCGGTTAATAAATCGTCCACGTACAAATCGCGCTGAAGAACAGTTGCTGCGGCTGGAGCATTAATCCTTTCGTCGTCCGCTAGTTGGTGGATGCTCCTGACGGCAAGGAATGGTGCAGAGGTCAATCCGAATGTGACGGTGCCAAGTTCGTACGTTCTGATTTTGCCGGTGTCGTCTCGCCACAAGATTCGTTGATACCGACGGTCTTCGCTTCGCATAAGAAATTGTCGGTACATTTTCTCGATGTCCCCGGTCAGGACATACGCGTGAGATCTGAACCTAATCAGATGTGCGAAGATGTCGTTTTGAATGGTCGGTCCCGTTAACAGCGTGTCATTCAATGACAGTCCACTGCTGGATTTGGCCGAACCATCGAAAACGACACGAGTCTTGGTGGTCGTGCTGGTAAGTTTGATGACCGCATGATGGGGCAGGTAGAAACCCTCCGAGTCGCGTGGTTCCACTTCGCTCATGTGCCCTAGGTCGAGATATTCCTTCATGACGTCCGAATATTCGCGTTTCAATTCCGGATCTCGTTGGAATTTGCGTTCTAACGAAAGAAGGCGGTTCAGGGCGCGCGATCGAGATTCGCCGAGTTGCGTCTTCTTTTCATTGAATGGAAGCGCGACGATATAGCGACCGTTTTTATCTCGCGTGACATGATCCCGATAGTGATGTTCACACTCCCGTTCCTCTGATGAGAAATGCCGCGTCCTTGATACTTCTTCCAACTCCCAAAACCTTTGAAGGTCGAAGGTTGGGGTGGTAAGGAATGTTCGCCGTTTGTTCTGCGCAGTCGTTGCTGATACGCTCCCCCCGATGATCCATCCAAATTGCGTTTTTTGGAGGATCAAATCAGGTTCATTGCGAGAGGAAAGACGATGCTGGCCGATGCTGAATGATGCCAATGCGGGACCCGTGCCGATCAACATATCCACAGGTGACGGTCGATGAAATTGTGGATCCGCGAGCTTGATGTGACCCGGTATCGCGAGTCGTGAACGATCGACTTGCTCATCCGGCATCGGTCTGGCGATTCGTGGGATTAAGAAAAACGTCAATTCTCGTTTGTAGCCGGAGATTCGAGATTGAATAGTGGTTGAGACCAGTTTGTTCGCGATCGTGTTTAACTGGTTCAACGCTTCGATTGTCGCCGAATTTTCTCTTGTCGGGAGCCGTAACCTTTTCGCGAGATCGTTCGTGATGAAATTCGCGCTCGCACATGTATCGATTAGAGTCCGGCATTCGATCGGGTTCCGGTCCCGATCTAACACCTGCACGACCGCGGTAGCCATCAATTCCGTAGTCGGTCCGTTATTCCCGAAATTGGTGGCCTTCGGAACGTCGGGTTTTCTGGCTGTTGGTGAGAGTCAGGACTCTGGTTGCGGATTATGATCCTGATGCAGTTTCGTGTTGTGCTGCTGGTTGCACACGCGGCATCCTCCGGCCTTGCAGTCGTCCGTTCGATGATCCGGCTGCAAGCAATTGAGGCACAAGTGTGCCTTACGAGCGATCTCCATGCGATGAAAGACCGTTGCATCTAAAAATCGTGGACACTGATACACCGCGTGCGGTCCGTCGCAACCCGGGCATCTCCTTGTCCTTGTTCCATACAGCGGCGTTGATCGGCGTTGAGCAAGCGGTGACGATGGCGGCGTTGGTCGCCGCTGAGGACGCGGAGATGATGGCGGCGTTGACCGGCGTTGCGAACGCGGAGATGATGGCGGCGTCGACCGTCGTTGTGAACTCGGAGATGGTGGTGGTACCGCGATATCTTGTCTCGAGTTCGTCACGTAAACTTGTCGTTTAGATGTCAGGATTTGTGGACGTGGATAGCCGGGATAATTGCGCGTTGGATTCGATTTCGTTTTGCCGATGTCGTGGCAACAAGTCGAACGTTTGGCAACGATTCCATAATCTCTTGATTGATGCGACGCATTGTGTAAAAATTTGAAGAGATCTTCGATTTTTGGAACCTCTGTGTCCGACAGAGTGCGTTCCCAGGATCTTCTCGTTTCGGTCCCCATTTTCGCGATGAGAATGCTCGCCAGGAGATCGTTCGCGATGTCGCTCGATGATCGACCGAGCGCTTGCAACGAACGAATGTGAAGTTGCATATGATTTGCCAGATCGCGTATGGATTCCGACGAATCATCTGGCATCGCGGGTGTGTCGCGTAAGAGAGCGGCGTGACGTAGTACGAGCACGCGCGTGTTGTCGTATATTTCCGTCAGGTGCTTCCATGCGGCCTCGTAATTGTCCTCCGTGATGCTGAAGGCTCCGATCGCGGCTTCGGCCTTTCCGAATAACGACAATCGCAAATAATGTAATTTTTGAATTTTATTTAAACCCGGTTGCGTATGGATTAACGTGTTGAACGCGTCCTTGAATGTGATCCATGTTTCTATACGTCCATCGAATTTGGGTAGGTCAATTTTCGGCAAATTGACCGATAGCGCGTATGAAGACGACGATAGGTTTGAGGACTGGCTGTTCCCGGGGGACGGTTGGGTCGCGCGCGCATCTACCCGTTCTAGTAATATGACCGCGGAGGCCATAACGTCATCGAACTGATCCGTCGTCGATTGTCGCTCTTTTTCCTCTTCTTCGAAGTTTCCTGCCACGCTTAATTCGTCCTGAATACGATTAAAGGTTGCGAACTGATTACGCGACCTTTCGATGCGATCTCGCAATTTCACGCGTTCCTTGTCAGAATCAACGTAAGTGTCGAGCCAGTTGCCGAACTGAGTGATCTGACTCTTGAAGGTCCGACGCTTGATTTTATACTCTCGAATCGTTGCGGGTGTATGAGTGGACGCGTCTTCGTTACGGTTGTTCATTTCGAAATGAGACGGATTTGAAGCTATAGAGGAGAACTTTGGTGGGTGGATGATTGGCAATTCAAATTACGAGCCTACCTTTACTGGATCTCGCGCTGGACCTGGGCTAATGACGGTTCACCTCCTGTGAGTGTCCTCTGGCACCTCGTTGTTGTTAAGGGCGTCCTGGTACGCCGTGGATTCCAAGGATGTCCTGGTAGTGACTCGTCGAAGTCTCAATTCTTTTCCTCGGAGTCGCGATTCTTACTGTTCGAAGCTTCGGTGATTTCGAAGACTCTTTGAAATCTCGAATCTGAATAATTCAATTTTGGTTGATCTCTGATTCCTCGCCTTGGAACGTCGAGGATGCGGGCCGATTGGTTATTTTGAGAAACGTTAATTTTCCAATCAGCGGCATCCTAAGTGTCGTGACCATCCTTTCATGCGTCCTTGGCGCGCCTTCTTTTGGTAAGGGTGGAACGATACCTGAGCAGGCGTAACGTCACGGGTTTTGCTCAAGGGTTACGGTTTCCTTCCAGTTCCGGAGCGTGAGAGGAACTTCGGGATGACCCTTTGGAATTACCGAGGTTTATAACACGTCCTTTGACTATTGAACGTGGACGAAATTAAGATTTATATGAACGTCTGTTTCATTGCTTCCCAATATTCCTAAATTCCAATTTGAAAATAGTCTGTCTTTACGATCGTAAAGACGATTATAAACCTTAGAAATACCGACCTCATTTAGGTATGCCAAGGAGAGATATTCCATATGCACCGCGTAATACCACTCTTAAATTATCACATATGCATTTACAGTATGCCATCTGCACATCCAATCAGTATTCTTTCGTTTGGCGCCGGTAGGACTGACTCATCATTTGCGCATGATACCAACGTGATTTGCCCGGCATTTGCCCGATAGTTTTCGCACGACAACGAACGGCAGAGTGTTAAATCTGATACAGACGAATTAACACACGAGTTGTTAAGTTATCCTGTTTAATTCAGTTAATCCGAATCAATCATTTACACAATATTTCACGGGAATATAATTCACCGAGTCGTGAACACGTCAACAGTAGCAACAGGTGAGGAAGGGAATACCTGTGTACAAATTACGAGATACGAGACAGCGACAGTGTTAGATGACTGTTTAGTCATCTATAGGTGTTTATGTACATTAAATAAATTCCAGACCGGCGTGTAACTTTTCCCTTTTATCCCTTGGGCCTATCTGGTCGGTGACAGTTTGAAAAGTTGACGTGCGGGTGTGAATTGCGTAATTAGGCTAGTCTTTTAGTTTGTATTTTTACTCTTAAGTTTCTTTAGCTCGTAAATAAAATATATTGGAATTAACAATATTCTTTGTTCCTTATATTAAGCATACTTCATTTTACAGAGGTAAAATATTTCTACCTTCGCATTGCTGAAATATATTCGTATTCGCGTGGATGTAAAGTAAATTGTTCAATGAAAGTTTTTAATTGATTATCATTTAGCAATAAACTCGATTGCGATGCTCGAGACAAAAATTGGAAACATTCTCTAAAATATCTGCAATATTTCTGGGTATTCCGTACATTTGCTGGAGCTCTTTCTGATCCCGGGAAAAATTACGAATAAGAATAACTAATAAATAAAAAATGTACGTTTCTTTCTATCAAAAGTAGCTATATATTATTAACAGTTATAATAGGAGAGAGACCTAAAAAGTTATTTCGACTGATTTAGCAATTCTGGTATTAAACGTATTTATCTTGCAGTGCTTCTTATTTATCTCGTTGCAATGATGACCGTCAAAGATGAAAAGGCGAGATCTGTTTGGGTAAGAGATTAATTAATCTTCGTTACTCAATCTATTTCATAATAGCGACATAATATAATCCACCATTCCAGTCATATAAAGACCAGAGTGCCATCCTGTGTGACTCAGCTTACTTCAGCTTACTAGGGTTTACTCGGTGTGTTACGGAATATTCCGAGGGAAGTCTCGTTAAGATAAGCAACTAGAACTAAATAAGATTTGGCAGAGACACAGCGAGGCCAACTGCAATAATTTTACGATGTCATAATAGATGGAAGAATCGTACACTGCCTCTCACCCCATATGACGATATTCTTGAAAGGAAGGACGTGCGAGAACACTTTGCGGAAATTGATTTAAAGCGCATTACGACCATAATTTGTTGTTCTCATAATCAGCCGTAAACAGCCGTAATCAACCGTCGAATATATCATCGACGTTGCAAAAAATCGACTAACTTTTCGGAATGGAATACCAGATCTGCGTTGTACTCTTTTATACCGAGCACGCGTTCTTTTGTCAGTAAAAGGAAAGATTTTGTAATTTTGCCAACTTACAGCATCCGGATGAAACTTCGTTTGAGAGAATTTGTGTAACTGATATTAACCTATTTCTAAGGACACCTGTGAAATTGACAGGTAAAGGAAACCACGTGCCTTTTTTTTTAACGATTAGTTCAATTTAAAAATAATTATATATTATATTAACAGTCTTAATATAAGTTAATTAAATTTACCGTCGTATAATTGGAGGAACCCTTCCGTCAAATTGACGGGTTCCGTAAATCTAGTGTTAAACTTTGCTCTGAGTGTTCAGGATTTTTATATTACACATTGTCCCATCCTGGGACAAACCCCAGACCTAGAAGACCCGTTACGGTCTTCTGGCAGCCAGACCTTAATTACTGTTTTATTTCATGTTCGGTATTTTCTATTTTATCCATTTACGATACACTTTTGCAAGCTGTTCTTTATTTCCTCGGGTCACCGGACACGAGGCATTCTTTAGCGACTAGTTTTAGAAACTAGGCAACAGCACCTAAGATTTGGTTGACAATAGATCTGTAAAAGTAAGGATCAGGCCATGTGCGATGTGACGACTTTCGAAGCCATAAACTGACGGTCACCTCTCGAGAAGGATCACGAATGTGCGGGTTGCACGCCGACAACCCCACTCTGAGGGAGATATTTCCTTCACCAGCGACCTTGTCCCTTCCGTTCTTTGGGGGTAACTGATACGCGGACCGAGGGCCCACCCTCCATCCGCCAATCAGGAAACCGATTTTTCTTTGACGATCCTTGGTCTCGGAAGATCGTGGATTGCACAGTACGAGAACATATCGCCGAATTTGATCAATTTTAAGAGCCTGGGCGAACACGTTCTCAATTTCGTTATACTTTCAACGCATTTAGAACGTCTGCCGATATTCCAAGCGATTCGTTAGTGCTATAATTGCCTGACGAGATGCGTCTTCCAGTTTCTCATCCTGATACGAATGCTGTTGAAAATAAGATACGTCTTAAAGTATGTACAAAAATTAATCTCTCAGGAGAAATAGATATATCTTTAAACTATGCGCCGAAGTGGTTCCGGGAACGCGTGAAGTGTTTATTTCACACGTTAGATAAGATTTAGGGGACCAGGACCAGCTGCAATCGCATACCCTCTTCTTTACTCTAATTTTAACTCTCTAGGCGACAGTCAGAATACTTAAGATATACCTTCCTTAGGATAGAATAAAGATAATTATAAAATACAAATAGTTATTTCTTTTTACCCATAATCCCAATAAATGCATTCCTCACGTTTCGGATATTCCGGGCCAAACGATCTCGAGCATATCACGAATTGGCGTCAGAGAACAAGCGAAAGAGACGAAAGGGAGAGAAGAAAGAAGGAAAAGGATTCATGTGTCCGGTAGATCTATCGATTACTAATAGAAATCAAGTGCAAGATGTAAGACAAAGGAACCTCGTCGCGTTTTGCGAAAAGAAGCAATTGAATCGAGGTCGTTAAAGATTCTAAAGGAAAAGGTTAATTATCCCGAGTCACCGCAAAGAATTTCAGAAGATGTTTGGCAACTGTGCCTGCCGTGGAAGCGGAAGTCTTATTTCTATCGGAATAGAATCGAATTGGAGTTACCGGTCAGGCCACGTAACGACCGTTCGATGCCTCTAGCCGGCCTTTTCGTGTGATATTGAATAATGTTCGCGTTAAGTGTACACGAGTTTAATTATCGATAATGATCGTGTCATGATAGCTTCCTCTTTCTACAGAGCACGTTCTGCGTCTTGTTATTCCCTGGCTTTTCACCTCTTTCATTTTCCATCTTTTACCGCTCCCTGCTCGTCACGTTCAACAGATTCATATCAGCAGGAGAGCTTAAAGAGCGATAGTACACCTGACCCCAAAGTTTCATAAATCGATCGTCGGGAAATTTAATAGAGCGCATTCATTAACGCACTCGTCATCTAGCATACTTTCACAAAGTTTTCGTTCATACCAACGATAAATCGAGTCAATTTCGAATGCATAATACAAGATACGTAATTGAATTATGCAGAGTGCTTGGGGAAAACAACGTTAAGGGACCTTTTTTCGATAATTATCAAATACTCATGCGTTTCCACACAGATGTAATCGGATTATAATCTGAGGAAGATGGACAGTGATTATATTTACGTGGATACGTGGATACGCGTGGGTTGTGAAGTTTCAATTGCAGCGGTTCTCTGAACAAGCAGTGCTGTTTCCGAGTTCACTAGCAAGCGAAACGCTCTGTACTACTGACCATGTACAATCAACTTTCTATTCGAATAAAGATTGGTATTAACTTTGTGAAAAGCAGCTGTACGTTTCCAGAAATAGCAAAACTGAAATATCCGAAACAAGTGATTTCGATACCTATGCTAGATGTAGCGTTAATCGGCAAGGACCGGCCTTCTAAACTAGTGCTTCTGTACTTCAAAAATGAACGAATATTTCCTCCACCTATATAGAAACTACAAATTTGAAATATTGAAAAATTGATCTGTAGCGGAAGGATAGGGAGATAGGGCTAGTGGTCCAGAAGACTTTCTTCGCCAAAGGTCTTTATTTTACTGACGATCTTTCGGCTCGAGAAGGTTCGACACCCCTCAACCGATCGTCACCCCATCGATGGGTTCAAGTGTTTTAGCCGTAAACAGTCGGAGAGGCTGCCTGTCGCCTGACT